AATTTACCAAAACAAACAAACAAAAAAAACCAAAATAAACAACCCCCCCCCAAAAAAAAAACAAACCCGAAACCTCATAACAGACTACAGAGATGCTCTGTATTTTTCTCTTTCTCATTGGCTTCAAAATTAGGCAAATGCCTGGTAGATGCTGAAGGCACCGCCCACCATGGGCACATGCAGGGTTCAACCTCAGAAGCAAATACAAAAAACTGTCCCCAGCAGTCTTTAACTTTCAGAAAAGAAACTGTGTCTTACCGTCCACTGCACGCCCCTCCCTGCCCCTTATCGACCCCCTAGTAGGTCCTAGGCACCTGCTCCAGGACTCTAGAAATCACTACTTTGTCAAGAGACAGCCTGGGGACCCTAAGGTCCAGCAGATAAAAGCTGATCCCCAAGAATGAAGACTCCAGCTTTGCAGAGCCCAAGAGCAGAACGCACCTGGATGCTGGTCTGTCACCTGTCTCCTATGTTCACTAAAGCAGCCAGGAACCCTTTAAGGAGATCCTGGACCCTGCCTGGAGACGCCTTCTGGGAAATCTTGCTGCCCTGGCCTTGCTGTGTTGGATTTCTAGAAAAGAAAACCAAAAGAGATCTCAGCTCACAGGGCAGAAAGAGAGCAAGCCACTTCTTTCCAACACCCCCCTTGCCCTCCTCCCCTGGGCCTGGTGAGGATCACCAGTAGTGTTAGTAGTTTGGGTTACAGAGGCACTGCTGCAAATCCAGGTCCTTCTGGAGTGTAGTGACAGACATGGTTAGCCTAAGGACCAGCACTGGAGAACATGGGAAGGAGGTTTCAACTGTCTCCTTCTCAATCACTCTCTACTTCCCTCGTGACCTCGTTTTAATCTTTGTGGAGCCCTGAAATGTTCCCAAACTGGACTGAGAATAAATTTGCTAAAAATCGTCAAATTTGGAAAATACAATAACATTAACCAGAGCTGACATGTTTGGAATGCCTAGAGTTTGTCAGGATAACTAAGGAGAAAACTGAAATAAAAAGCAAGGAAGAGAACCCCAACCCCACCCCATCCCCAGCAGGTGAAGCCAGGCAGACTAGTTCTGCACACCTCTTTGAAGATCCCTGAGGAACCTGAACCAGGATCTTTGACAAGACCTCAACTGAAAGTTCTGTGTAACTCTCTTAAATTTCCCAAATGTATTGACCCACGGAGAACTTCCTCTCAGGACACCCACAAGAACTCTGTGGCTTTAGATTTGGACCAAGGCTAGCCCACACAGGAGAGAGCCCCTCTGCACTTCCTGTGGGAGCACGGATAGTCACATTCCAGCAGGCTTGACCCAGACTCTGCCAGGGATGGGGACTGAGAGAGGAGGGAAAATAAGGCAAGTTCAAGTTCATGCAGAGTGTGTTGGGGCATTAGGGCAGGCTTGAGGTCAAGAAAAATGCCCCACCCCAAGAAACCTTTAGAGCAAGAAAAGCCATTCCAATAGACAGATATAAATAAGGACAAAAGGCGTCATTATATACCAACACACTCAAGAGTATAGTAATAATGCTAAAACCTCGCCTGCTCATTCACACCAGGTGAGAGCCTATTAAGACTATATATTTTAGCACAGTTTTATAGATATGCAAAATGCATTCATCTAAAGCAATGCTTTTGGTGAATTTCACCAAATAAAATCATGGCACAATGAAGACATGGGTCATCTCCACAATCCTGTGTCCCTCCCCTGAAAAAGAAAAAACAAACCTATTCTTGGCAAAGAAAATCCCTCCTGGGCTACAGCTCCAGGTAACCACAGATTGATGGTTACACAGGTAAGTCTGGTATGAAAATGTCATATTATTAAATATTCGTTATGTGTACTTTTTGGTGTCTTCTTCGGCGGACTTCTGAGCCTTGAATTCAGCACAGGACTTCAGCCCCATCTACCTTGTCTTTGATGCCATGTTTTGTTTGTATTTGCATCTTATGTTTGTTTTTTCCTTGTTTTATTTTCATTTTGACTCTCTTTTCTCTCTTTCTTCTTCTTCTTCTTCTTTTTTTTGAGACAGGATTTCTCGGTGTAGCCCTGGCTTACCTGGAACTCCAAGTGTAGACCAGGCTGGTCTTGACTCACAGAGATCTGCCTGCCTCTGCCTCTCAAGCACTGGGAATGAAGGTGTGCCCCTCTCTTTCATTACCTTTCAACTTGAAACTTACAGAAGGAGGCTTAGGTGCACGTGATAAAGTTGTACAGAATAAATTTAATGCAACCATCTGTAGCATGAGGGCCTGCTTGTTGGGGTTTCTGTCCTCCCAACAGGTCCCACAGCTGTTTGGCCCCAAAGAAAATCGCACAGAGAGTCTATATTAATGATAAACTGATTGGCCCATTAGCTCAGGCTTCATATTAGCTCTTATACCTTATATAGTCCATTATTCTTATCTATGTTAGCCACATGGATTGGTAACTTTTTCAGTGTGGCAGGTCAAATCTTGCTTCTTAGGTGGTTGAGAAAGGACAGAGGAGGAATGGTCTCCCTTGGTCCCAGAATTCTCCTGTTCTCATTACCCCACCTTTACATAAGTAACAGTAACATACCTTTTGACTTCAATTTTGAAGTCAAGGTATTTTCAAAATACTTATCTTGGATTAATTCAGCAGCATCTATAAGCAAATATTTTTTTAGCAGCTGTTGCTCCTTTCTCAGCATTCAAACAAAAAGAGCATAATAACATACAGTATCCAGATTCTCTGTGTATTTTTCATCTTTACGTGGCTTTATTTTAACCTCTATTTCTTATATTTTTAACTTTTACTTTTTGAGACAGGTTTTCTGTACATCTTTGACTGTCCTGGAACTCCCTCTGTAGACCAGGCTGTCCTTGAACTCACAGATGACAGCCTGCCTTGCCTCCCAAGTGCTGGAATTAAAGGTGTGCACCACCACACCGTGAATACAGAGAGATCTGTCTGCCTGAGCCTTGAAAGTTTTGGGATTAAAGGTGTGTGCTACCACACCTTGAACTGGCAGAGGTCTCTCTGCCTCTGCCTCCCAAGTGTTGGGATTAAAGGCATGTGCCACCATGCCTTGAATTAACAGAGGTCTGCCTGCCTCTGTCTACCAAGTGTTGGGAATAAAGGTGTGTACCACCACACCCAACTACTCTCTTTCTTTTTTTAAGGACCTCAAGCTTTAGCCTGCATATATTTGTAAATACAGTAAACCATTTATAGGTTTTTTTCATCTTTGAATCTCTCTTTACTGTTTCTCTTTTTCTGAGTACATGAGTTTTTAATTTACCAAGCAATATGGGTATGATTAAAGCTGTGGCTTTGATGGCTGGATCCAGCCCATTCCTTAGCTTTCTGTGATTTCAGCCTCATGGCAGAGGTACAGACTGTAGCCATGTTTATTGCCACAACTCTATGGTGTTTCAAGGTCCCTGCAAGTAAGCAAGCTGCAGCAGTGTCCTCATAATCCACAATCAAATAATACATAATCCGATTGCCTGCATGTAAGAGTCAGAGTTTGTCCTGGCAGGATGGCCAGCATATTCAAAGGGCATGGCCTTTTTCCTACTATGGCTGAAAAACCAAAAACCATGTGGTCTGCTTTTCTTCAACACCATTTAAATGTTTTGTTGTAGGATCTCTTAAAGACCTGCAGGATTTTGCAGCTAACACTGAGTCAGGAAGCCTCTCTTAGATGAGAGTGCTTGCTTGCCTCTAGGAAGCAGAGCAGACCTGAGAAATTGTTGCTACCAAGAAAACATGCTTTATTCTTTCCCAAGGTTTCTCAGGCTTTCTATGGATGCAGTTATCTACATGGGCACCATGCAGTTATCTACAAGGGCCTGCTTATTGGGGTTTCTGTCCTCCCACCAGGTCCCACAGCTTTTTGGTCCCAAAGAAAATCACACAGAGAGTCTGTATTAATGATAAACTGATTGGCCCATTAGCTCAGGCTTTGTATTAGCTATTATAACTTATATAGCCCAGTAACATGAGGGCCAGGCTTGTTGCGGTTTCTTTCCTGCCCAGTTTCCACAGACAACAAGTCCCAAAGAAAATCACACAGAAGTCTCCATAGGTTATAAACTCGTGGCTCTTTAACTAAGGCTTCTTATTAGTTATTGTAGTTTATACTAACCCATTATTCTTATCTATGTTTGCCACAAGGCTCAGTACCTTTTCCAGCAGTGCAGGTCACATCCAGCTTCTTCCTTGTTCTGGGCAGGAATGATGAGGGAGCTTCTGGCTTCCTACAATACTCCTGTTCTCATTGCCCCACCTGTCCCACCTATACTTCCTGCCTGGCCAATCAGTGTTTATTTAAAACATTATTGACAGAACAGACAATTCTCCCACACCACCCATGCTTCAGATCTGTCCTGTCCTTGAGGGGCTATAGCCCTAGCTATGAACTCCTTCCACATCCTACAAGAAATTTCTTGTTTTTAAGAGCTAGGTGAAATTGCTGAAGCCCTTCATTGCCCAGCTTTCAAGGGCATACTTGAACAATGTATTATGCCTGGATTCTCTGAACTGCCCTTGATTGGATGAGGCAGGGGAGAGAGTTTTCTTGCTTCTACCTACATTCAGAAGCTCCAAGAACTTTAGGAGGCCACACCTTCAGGCTTTTCCTAGTCTTCTGCTCAAATATCAGGTCCAACTCTCCTAGGTTGCCAGGACAGCCACAAGTCTGAGAGATGCGGACAACCTACTCTTCCTTGTCCTTCTAGGCACCACCCCAGGAAAGGACAAAGGAGCCACTTCCTTCCCATTTTCCACAGCCACCTCTCCTCAGACAGCTCTGAGCCCTGAGCTGTCAGATTCTCCCACCTTTCCTTGGAGTGAACCAGGGATCCCAGTTTTCTAGAAACTTGAGTTGTCTTTGCTCCTCCCCTCTGGCCAGAGGCAGGATGGGGAAGTGCAGAGGGAGGGTGAAGGGCAGAGAGGGGGAGGAAACCCGCCAGACACAAGGGGACCAAACCAAGTGTGAATGAAGTATGTCATAGCTGAACAAGTTTCACTTTCTTTCTTCTCCTCTTTGAAGGACCTGGAAAGAGTTCTCTCTGAACATCCCAGAGGCTCAGAGTGGTACACTCCTTTGCTCAAGGCACCTTCTCGGCTGTGTAGTCCAGGGATGGCAGGAGGGGACAATGGATTCAGTAGCAGGTAAGTCCTTTCCCTTCTCCTTGTCCTGTGTCTCTGCTAAGATGGATGTTTGTATGTGTTACTGTTGGACTCTGGCGTCCAAACACCGAGAAGGAGTCGCCCCCAGAGACCATCTCATACACCATAGCCGATGCAAAAGCATGAGGATTTTATTAATTCTGTCATGACAGGGTCCCCCAGCATTCGGGAAGCCGAGGGACCTCGAATAGCGGGTACAGTCTACTTTTAAAGGGGCCACAGAAGCAAGGGGGGTTGTTCTTTGACTATTCAGATTGGCTTATTTGAAAGGGCTAATACCAATAATTGACTGGAGAGCTGTTGCCAGATCAGATGAGGTAAGAGGCCATTTTGACCTCGTTTCCCAGGGGACAGAACCAAAGCATACGTATATGGGTAATTGTTCAGGAACTGAGTACGTGCAAGTGTAGCTGTTAGGTCCTTGGTTCCCAGGGGAGGAGGGGAAGCACTATGGCACAGAGGCTGAGAGGATTCAGAATTGTCAAAAATGGCTTCAGGATTGCCTTAAAGTCTTACATTACTAGGGCCTCCCAGGCTGCGTCCGTGGGTCCATGGGAACTTGAGACAATGAGATCACAAGGAGATTAAGAACTGGGACAAGCCAGGTGGCAGTGGTGAATTCCTTTAATCCCAGCACACAGGATGCAGAGGCAGGTGGTTCTCTGTGAGTTTGAGACCAGCCTAGTCTACAAGAGCTAGTTCTAGGACAGGCTCCAAAGCTACAGAGAAACCCTGTCTTGAAAATCAAAAAAAAAATTGGGGTGGGGGGGACAAGCAGTTGCCACTGCTGTTGGCTAGCTATTGGAGAGTCCTATAGTCACCTCAACTCACCTCACTTCATTCCTTTTTCCTGTCACATAACTGGGCTGACACTATGTGGACTTCTGGGAGCTCCTGTAGGAGTGGCCTGTTCATCAGGACTCTGACCTCTCATCTCTCCCTAATTATCATTCTAAAAGATAACTTTGTCCAAAAATGATCATTAAGAAAAAGTGAAAACCCAATTCCTTCTGTTGCCAAGTTTTTCTCAGTTGAGTTGGGGACAGATGAGCTCTGAGTCTTCCTGTATGGCTTAGGTCAGTTCATGGAGGAAGCGGAAGTTGATGAAGACCAAAGACTAATGGAAGCAGGTGGGGAGTGGGTGCAGCCTTTATGCCTTTATCTTTTATTTAACATATGGTGGCTACATAGTGATTATAAATGGATCGAAATTATCTTACCTTACAAACACACATGGGAAGAGGGACTGGAGAGTTGGCCCAGTGGTTAAGAGTTCTTAATGGGTTAGGTCCCCAACACCCATCCTGGGGCTTCCAATTGCCTCTGACTCCAGCTCCAGAAGACCAGGCATCCCCTTAAGTCTTCCATAGGCACTGTGCTTCCATGCAGGAGACACACATTGAGACAGACACACATGTACATAATTGCAAAGGAAAATAGAAGAATTAAGACAAAAAGTGTATGGAGCTAATTGTCCTCTAACAGGGACTCGGTCAAGGCTACTTCTGGTCCTGCAACAGTTCTAAGAAAGCATCACTTCTCCGATGAAGTTTAGTCAAAACCAATTGTGATGCCGACAGATGGCTGTCTCTTTTGGGAGTGGGGTGGTATAAATTACTGGTTTAGTTTCTTTACTACAAGCCTGTTCAGGTGACACCACTCTCAGAGTGTAAATTTTGGTAGTTTCTGTTTTTAAATATATTTGGCCATTTTTGTAGCTGCCGTCAACCAATCTGCAGATACAGGGATGGCTGCTCTATTGTCTCTGCTGCCCTTTCAATGTCTGAGGAATTCATAGCTTGAGTCTTGGTGTTCGTTTGTTTTTTCCTTGTTAACCTAACTAGAGATATAATTTAAAAAGATAAAGATAACTTTACTGATCTTTCCAAAGGAGTAGTTTTTTGGTGTGATAAATAATCACACCCCTTGTTTTTTTTTCTTAATTTTTTAGTTATTTATTAAAGATTTCTGACTCTTCCCCGCCACTGCCTCCCATTTCCCTCTCCCTCCCCCATTCAAGTCCCCCTCCCTCGTTAGCCCAAAGAGGAATCAAGTTTCCCTGCCCTGTGGGAAGTCCAAGGACCACCCACCTCCATCCAGGTCTAGTAAGGTGAGCATCCAAACTGCCTATGCTCCCACAAAGCCTGTTCGTGCAGTAGGATCAAAAACCCATTGCCATTGTTCTTGAGTTCTCAGTAGTCCTCATTGTCTACTATGTTCAGCGAGTCTGGTTTTATCCCAGGCTTTTTCAGATCCAGGCCAGCTGGCCTTGGTGAGTTCCCGATAGGTTTAAGGATAATTCTAATTTATTTTAATTTTATGGACTTTTACTGAATTTTTATTACATCTTTAGTTTTCATTTGGGATGAAATTGCTTTTCTTATGTTTCCTGATTCTTCAAAAGATTTTCATGTAGACCTCTCTTATCAGTTGATACATGCATTTAATGCTATACATTTCCCCCGAGCTACTGTCTTTGGTGAATCTCAGCTTTAATTTTTTTTTAACTTCAGAGTAAGAGAAAGCACCATATTTTTTATCTGTTTACACCCATAGTATTTTTTTTCAAATTACATTCATTTATTGTATGTGTGCAAGTGTGTATATTATATATACACAGTGTGTAAATTGGGATCAGAGGACAACTTGTGAGAGTTGATTCTCTCCTTCCACCATGTAGGCCTTGGGGATCAAACGCAGGGTCTTTGTCTACTGAGCCATCTCACCAGCTCCTAAAGCGACTCTCTTTTCTTTACAACATTAGTGGCAGTTTTCAAATGTATTCTATTTTAATGGTTATATTTAGACCATTCACATTTAGACCAATTATTAACACAGGGCACCATCTGAGGCATTTATAAAAACTTTCATTTTACTTTTACCTCTGTCCCCAGACAGCGTCTTCTGACTACATCCACTCTCCTGGCCTCCCACTTTATATTCCTCTCTCTGCCTAGCTACATTCCTTTCTGTCTCTACTGCCCTAGTGCTGGCATTAAAGGTGTGTGACTTTCAAGTACTGGGATTAAAGGTGTGAGCGACCACCGCTTGGCTCTGTTTCTTTTTTAGACTGGAAGGATCTTGTGTAGCCCAGGGTAGTCTTGAACTAGCAGAGATCCCCTGCCTCTGTCTCCCCCGAGTCCTGGGATTAAAGGTGTGCACCAACATTGCCTGGCCTCTAGTGGCTTAGCTCTGCGCTCTTATCTCTAGGCAAGCTTTATTGATTAAAACATAAACAAAATATCAGTACACTTTCTTTTTAGGCCTTTTCCTTTTGTCCATAGCACTTTATGATTCTTTTTTCCTTGAATTCCTTCATCAACTGCTTTTTTTTTTTTTTGGTATTTTTTTTTTTCTTTTTTAGTACTGGAGATTTCTTCTGGGCATCCTCTTGAGAATGATTTTTGGAGAAACCTCTGTATCTTATGGCTCTTTGTTTTTGGTAAACAGTCTATTTTCTTACTGCTCATTGCTTTGTGGCATTTGAAGTTTAGTTTTGACACCATGGCACTCTTGGGTTTCTGATTAATTTGCTGCATTGCTTTAGTTTGGCCGCAGCATCCAATGTGAAACTGCACCGTTTCAATTTACCTTGTGTGAAATAATTCAGCTCTAACTCCTGGTTTTGCTCCAATTCACTTATGAAGAGCTGAGTTCAGATCCCTAGAACCCACATAAAATCTGGATGTGGTGAAGTGTGTTTTTAACTCCAGAATTAGGGCAGCTGACACAGTTGGCTCTCTGAAGTTCACTGGCCAGCTAATCCGGCTGAATTAATGATATTCAGATTCAGTGAAAGACCTTGTCTCCAAAAAAAAAAAAAAAAAAGGAGAGAGCACCTGGACCCCTTACCCCCATACCAGGCACATATACATGAGCACACACAACCTCCTCAAGTTTAAGATAAAATTTATTGTGTAATTTATTATATTATTACATGTGGAATATAGACTCTTCGTGAAACATAATACTTCTGAAGGTTTTTTGACATTGGATATTTTTGATATCCTTTGTGTTTGTTTGTCGTGTAACCCTGACTAGCCTGGAATTCACTACATAGACCAGCCTAGCCTTGAATTTGTGGTGAACCTCCCGCCTCTGCCTCTGAAGTGCTGGGAGTAGAGGTGTGCATAACCACATCCTTTTTTTTTCCTTAAAAATTATGGGGAATGTCTAAAGCTAGTTTTCTGGGTTAAATCTAATGTGAGTTACCATTAGTTATAAATTTCAGACTTTTAGAATATTTACTCTTAAATGTAGTAGCAATAGACCTATCACTATCACAAGTAAGGTATTTTTATGGAAAATAACAATATTTTCTAAATTAACAATAAAGGATAGAATGTAATCTTGCTTTAACTTTTTGAAAATGCCTTTACTCTCTTGTTTAGGCAAAGTTCCCTGATGTCCCTGGTTACTTCCGTGTCTAATCGGCTGTGATGCCATAGCCCAGGGAACCTCTGAGAAGCGCACTGGAAACTTTCTGGAGGAGGAAAGAGATAAAGAGCAGATGGTATTTCAGTATTAGTCTGAGAAGAGCGTGTCCTCAGTGACATCCGAAGAAGTCTTGAGCAGTGTCAGGATTGCTCAGACTACACCCCACAAGTCACCATTCTCAATGATTTAGCATTTAGGTGACATTTTAAACATTTAAAAAAAAGTTGTACCCTCAGTGACAGCACCAGTTGATGTGCTGGTGTTGATGGGGGAGGGGCTCTCACAAGGCCCCACCCCTAGATGAAGAGCTACAGGGAATTGTTGGCTTTTGAGAAGAGGAGAATCAACCATTATTCTCCAGGGATAACCTCATTCTGTTAGGTTGTCCAATGCCTAGTGGTCAGCCCTAAACACATATACATAGGAACAACACTAAAAGATATCAGCAGATTCTATCTATCTATCTATCTATCTATCTATCTATCTATCTATCTATCTATCATCTATCTATCTATCATCTATCTATCTATCATCTATCTATCTATCTGTCTGTCTCTCATATACCTATCTGTATATATATATATATATATGATAATAATTAAAGAAGGTATTTGAGGGGGAGTGGAGAAGGAAAGCATGGGGGATTTGAGGGAGAAAGGGAGAAGTAGAAATGATATAAATACAGTATTCATGTATGAAATTTTCAAAAACATGATAAAATTCTAAAGTAAGCAAAAGGCAAAAAGAAAGATGTGCCCTATTTTAATGTTTTTTTTTATTTTTATTTTTAATTCATTATTTAGGTTAGCGAACAAAATAGTGGAGCTTATCATGGCATCTTCATACTCATGTGTCATGCTTTTACTCTTCTCCTCCCCCACTTGCATGAGCTGGTTCTCTCCTTCTACACTCTGGGTTCCAGGGTTGAACTCAGGTCATTACACTAGAGGGCAAGCTCTTTGTCCACTGAACCATCTCACTAGCCCTCCTGCCACTTGTGTAGTAGAAATTTGCTGGTCGGTATTGATTTCTTTTTTCCATTATTTGAGATGGGGTCTTGCTAGATAGCTCAGGCCTGCCTCGAAGTCACTAGGTCAGGGCTAGCAAATGCCAGTGGGTAAAGGAGCTCCCCAGGCAAACCAGGCAACCTGAGTTTGATGCCCAGAACCAGAAAAAGAGTGAAAAAAGAGAACAAACTCCACTACACAAAGTTGTCCTCTGACCTCTACATGTGCTAATACTGTGTGGTGTAAATACTCAGTAAAATTATAAGGAAAGCAAATCACTATCTAGGCCATGATGGTCCTTCTGCTTCAGCCTCTAGGATGCCATGACTACAGACCCTTGCACCATGCCTAGCTTTCTTGTTTCTGCCATTGTACTATCCAACATAATTTGTTTCCATTTGTCCACCAGAATGAGGTCGACAGCATGAAAAAACAGCTTCCATGTCTCATTGGGCTTCTGGGCCTCCCTTCCCTAGAGAATCCTTTCCCTGGACTCTGTCTTTGGGCAGAGAGCAGCAGCTACTTGCGATATCAGGCACTATAGCTGACGACAGCGTGGTTAAGAAGTGCTGGTTCTGAGTTGTTAGAGAGACCCCCCTCCCCATCACTGCAGGGAGGTAGGAAGCAAGGAGGAAAGAAGAAAACATGTGAAGCCATAGAGATGAGCCACTCAGTGTGTGCTTGGGTAGAATGCTTCCTCAGTCCTGGATCAACTGCTTATCAATTTTGCTTTCACACTTGAGCTGGAAGAAGAGGGTGTAGCAGTCTTTGCTGTTTCCTTGTACCCGCCATATGGATTGTTTCATTTCTGCGACTGTGATAAGAGACCCTGACACAAAGAGACCTGGTTGAGAAGGAACTTGTACTCTCATAGGTACAGCTTATGGTTCATCATTGCAGGGAAACTAGGCTGAAACTTGAAGCAGCTGGTCATACCCATAATCCAAAGAAGTGAGAAGAGAATGCAAAAGTGCCTGTCAGTGTTCAACTTATTCCCGACATTTAAAGCTGCCCAGGATCCTCCTACCTAGGAATTGGTGCTGCCCACAGTGGGCTGGATCTTCCCATAGCAATTAGCATAATGAAGACACACCCAGACTGATGGATCCATAGACCACCTTAATCTAGACAGTCCCTTACGACTCACACAATCTCAGATGATTTTAGAGTATGTCAGGTTGACAATTAAAACTAATCATTGTGTTGAGTATGGTGGAGCACTCAGGAGAATCTCTGAGGCTAGCCTGGTCTACATAACATATTCTAGGCAAACCAGACTTACAGGTAGTATCCTGTCTCACAAAAATAAAACCCAAAGAATCACAACTTGTACCAGCATTTTAGATGTTTAAAGTTTCAATTTTACTTCAAATTGTTCCTTTTAGGGGACCATCCTTCATACCAAAAGTTATCCAGCCACTGGTAGCCTCTTATAAACCAGTTTCTACTTCTACATGAAATATATCCCTTAGGGCAAGCTCAGAGTACCTGAGCGAAGAGGAGTCACCTGACTATGGGCTCATCTTCAAGCACTTCAGAGAAAATAAGGTGGAAATCGCGAGCGCCATCACAAATCCCTTTCCTTTCCTTATGAGCCTCCGAGACCGTGGCTACATCTCTGAGCAGAAGTTCCGGGTGAGTGAGGAGAAGGAACTCAGCCCTGACAGTCAGCCTGCCCTGTGATGTATTCCTCTGAACCTCGGGATGCTGCCAACAGACTGAAGGCCCTCCAGGGAGGGGGGACCTTCACTTCTTGGAAGTCAGAGGTGACAGGAGAAGTGGGCATCACAGGAAACATTCCTATTGGTCTCTGCAGTAATCAGGGCTGAGTTAAATGGTGAGAGGGGATAGATGGGGTGTGGGAATTCCCCGAAGAGCAGAGCACCCCAGGTTTAGTTGTGCAGTGTAACAACAGAAACTAGAATGCCAGTGGACACGTCCAAGCAGGGCTTCTTTACAAAGTTTACTTATTCCAAATCCCGGAGCCTGAGAGTTTTGAAAGTCACAGTCAGTGTGTCACGTGAGAATAGAACCAGAAGTCATGCTTACTTCTCTCTCTCCAAATTCTCCTTGTTGTTCAGGCACCACTGAGGCCCTAAAATGTAGTAAAAGTTGGTGATGGGGTCCCCTGGGGATAATGACGACAAGCCTTTGCCCTATGGCCAGGGTGCTCACTTGGTTGCCTTGAGCCCTGCAGAGCAGGTCAGTCTCTGGGGAGTTCCTGTGTGGTACCAGACAGCCTCTCATGGCCTGTTAGGCTCACAGTGGAGCATCTTGGCCTGGCTCTTACAGACACATCCTTTGATCATTCTTCAGAGGTACTCTTCCCTGTCAACTGTGTGTCAGCACCAGAGCTGCTCTCGGATAAGCACGGGTCTGTCATTACAGAGAGGACATGTAAGATGTCCCCTGATCAATGCAAAACTCAGACACTTCACAAGAAATCAAATGGCGTTTGAACCATTCTAAGCCTCTCTTATAAAATCATAAATCCATTTTGACATAATTCTTCCTTCAATATTTTTAAGACTTGTCAACAAAGTTGTGAAAACCTGATCCCACCGGAAAGAGTAGTGTATGACATCCTCAGTGACCTACAGAATGAGTTCAGCCTATCGCTTCTCAAAGTGATATTCAGTGCGACGCATCTGAAAGCCTACCCAGACTTAAAGGAGACTCTAAGAAACTTCCCAGATGGTAACTATAGCTCTCACTTGCTTCCGGGAGTTCAGGGCAATTTCATTCATTCATTCAATCACTCATTCTTTTTTTTTCACTGATAGTTAACATAGAATTTACTGAGGGACTATGACATGCCAAACACAGGGGTAATGTCGGAAATACACATGGCCCATGTAGTCAGGAGCTTACACATAGGCCATGTAACACAGGGATAAGTGTTCAGCCCAAACCTGTGTTTCATACTATTAAGACACACTATAAATTGCAAGTTTCCTTAGAAAGAAGCAGGGTCTCTGATGCTTACAGACATGTCCAACAATAAAAATATGTCTCTTGTATCAGAAAATTTACCATTCAGTGTAGTCCTACATCAACTCCCTTCTTTGACAAACAGAGAGATCACAGGGGAAACCCCTCTTGGACCCAGGTACTATAGAGGGCACTTAGTCAACTTAGAGTATAAAAAGAAGGTGGGCTTTTAGAGTTGAGTGACTAGGATCACTGAACATGGTTCTCAGGGGAGATCTTGGGGACATGAGGAGTGCGATGAGCCTGATACAAAGGTGAAGCAGAGAGATGGTAGAATTGGAGCCTGTTACATGGAGATAAGAGCTCTAGGGTCAAAGGAAGCTCAGACATGAAAGGAGGTTGTGCTAAAGAGCATTGAGATCAACAAGGAAGAAAAGGGCTGAGGCATGTGTGATGCTTTATATTGTAGAAGAACAGCACTGGGGACCAAAAGATGAGAAGAAATTAATAGGAATGAGCAGAGAGAAAAGAGACAGAGCAGGGCTCTAGGTGGATGGAGGCAAGTATCTCACATGAGGTGCTGAGGGCCAGCACTCTGAAAGAGTGCTTGGAGGTCTCTGCCTCATTGCTGTCTGATTCAGTCATTGTCTTGTTTCTCTTCAGGGTCCAACAATCACAGGACTCCTCAGAGGATAAATGGAAGAGATGCTGATGAGAGGCCCAGACTGCCAGCAGTTGTTACAGAAGGTGATTCTGTTCTTAGATTGCAAATTACCTCACTGGTGCTGTTTTCCTGTCTTCACCCTTTTCGCCTCACCATTCCCAACACATGCACGTGCACACGCACATGCAAGCATGTATACACAAATGCACGTGCATGCACACAATGCACATATTTATGCATGCATGCACACACAAAAATACACACACACACTTTTGTTCAGGTTGTGGATGCTGTCCCTAGTGTGAGACAAGAAGGGAGGGAAGGAGGGTGAGTCTTTGAAAAGAAGAGCTTTTGTGTATTTAAAGGTTACAAATTCATAAAAATGAAGATTAGAGGCAAGAACAGAAGATTCCTAAGCAGACTTGAGTTTATCTAAAGCAATCTGGCTTAATATATAGCCATGTGTCACTTAATAATGGGGAAGAAATTTCTGAGATATATGTGCTCTGAAGTGAGTTCTTTATTGTGTTGACAGTGTAGAGTGCTCTGCCCCTAAAGATCCCAGTTATTGGGTCACTCACTCACTGATTGTATCAGCCTATGTGATGTCTGTCTTAACGTGGTCCATCCTAGGTTAAAATGTTATCATATGTCACACGAATGTGTTCTCAGGATGGAGTTTGATAAGAAAGTGAAAAATGTAAACACATTTGCTAGAGATCTCACAGGAACAATGAAATGTGGCATTAGGGGAAATGTGTAAAATCTATAAAAATAGATGATGAGAGGTAAGAAGAAATGGAAAGATAGGGCAGCAGTCAGCAAGAGAAGGTCAAATCAGTGAATTCCATAAGTAGATGCATGGCAGAGAGACAGCAGTGTGGGAAGATGGTGCTGGAGACTGGAAAAGGAGATGGGGCCAGGCAAGCTGCTCACAGACATTGGCAAATCTTGGAGGTGCAAGCATGCCCACTCTCAGGCAATGACTTGATACTCTCTCAGAGTCCCGCCTATTCACACCAGGTATGAATTCAGGTCATTACCAACCGTCTTTCATGTTTTTTCTCTTTAATGACCCAGAAACCTTCTTTACAAATGAGTGGAGAAGGCAGATCAGAAGTCCAGAAGGTGATATAGATTTCTTTTCTTTTTTAATTAATTAATTTTATTTTATGTGCCCTGATGTTTCGCCTGCATGTTGTCTGTGTGAGGGTGTCAAGTCCTTTTGAACTGGTGTTGTGAGCCACCATATGGGTGCTGGGAATTGAACTCAGGACCTCAGGAAGAACAGTCACTGATCTTAACCACTGTGTCATTTCTCCAGCTCTAGTGATGCAGATTTTAATGACCTATTTTATAAGTAGCTTTATTTCCATTGTCACAGAGACGAACCTTCATTCCTTTTACCTCCTTTCCTGTTCACCAATCTCTCATCCATGTACCAACACAGCCACCTAGTTATCTATCTACTGCTGATCTATACATCTACATACCCATCTATTCATACATCCACTAACTCACCCACATATCAATATAACCACCCATCCACCTGCCAGTCTGTTTACCTATCTATCCATCTGTGCATCTGTTCATCCATTCTTCCAACCATCTATCCATCTTTCCAAGCCTTCATTCTTTTCTTTTTTCCCACCCCTCCCCACAAATGGCCAGAGTATGTTTAGCTTTTGAATTGTTTTCAGGAGACAAAGCAGCATAGAAATCAAAATTCAAGCTGGTTGAGATTTTCTTGAGTACAGATTGTACATCAAGAGAGGGCAGTTGAGAACTCCAGATGGAGCCATCAAATCTGGGGTTCTGAGTTAAATGCTAGTTTTACCTAAATAGACATGGAATCCTAATATTTTGGGTGCAGTACTGAGCAGGATTGATCCCCTTTAGCTGTTTTTTGCCTTTGTTGTTTTTGCTCATGCCTTTGTTGGGCATGAGGAGTACAACTGAAATTGATAAATCTCTTGTGGATGATTTGGCAAGGGGATCTCTCCTTCTTTGTCCACAGTGAAGAAGACTTCCTATGACTTGAAAGGATGCTAAAACAGAATCTGCAGAAAGGACAGAAAAGAAAGATTTAGATTAAAATTTGAGTTAAAAAAAAAAAACAGAAACAGCAAGTTAACTAAAGAGAACAGACTGAACTAGAGAAATGAGAACAGTCTCAGTGTGTGTGTGTTTGTGTGTATATGTGTGTGGGGGGAGCTAATTTCAATTATAAAACATGGTGCAGAGTTTAAAATGTGGAGAAAGTTATGTAAAGGGACGATGCTAATAGATAGTGTAGGAGAGTCATCAGCCCTACACACAGAGAAAAGACAAAGAAGAATGAACTAAAACCCAGTAGAAGGCCAGTTAAATGGCATGTGCTGCCAAGCTTGATGACCTGAGTTCTATTTGTGGGACTCACACGAAGGGAAAAGAGAGCTGATTCCTGTAAGCTGTCTTGTGGCCTCCATGTATGTGTCATGGTATGTGAGGCACTCTCCCATACCCAGATAAATACAATAGCAACAGCCACTACAACATAATAATAACAATAAAATTTTAATTCAGTTGAGAGCAAAAATTATCTTCAGGGAGAGAGAAAACAGATTGAGACACTGAAGGGGCCTAGCCAAACCCAACTCTTGGCTTAAGGTGAGCACATTAACTGTGTTTTCAGATTATTGTCACCAACTTTTCAAGCGGCCTTGGAAAATGTGCAAGGGTGATCAATCTCTCCCAGGCACTCTTATCTGCTCCCATCTGCAATTCCCAAATACGAACTCCCAGACTTGCCTGTCAGTTTTCCATCTGCAGGCTTGGATGTCTTCACAGAACTCTCTAAGAGACTCCTCTATGCAGATGTTCTTCAAAAAGATGCTTGCATAGTTGCCCATGTTGTCTGTTTTGGCAGTGGACCTGCCTCCTCTGGGTGTCTCTGTCTCAGCATAGGACACTGTTTCTCCCTTCCCAAGTAGGGTTGTTAGTGACTGCCCCTCACCAGCGTAACCCAGTCTTCCATGTATCACCCCTGTCCATCTTCTCCCTTTTCCAACAGAAAAACCAAATCATATCTCTCTTATTTTAATTTATATTTATATGTATGAGAGTTTTGCCTGCATATATCTGTCTGTCTGCACCACATACTTGATTGGTGTTTAAGGAGGACAGTAGAGGGTGTCAAGTCCCTTGCCTCTGAAATTGCAGACAGTTGTGAGCTTCCAAGGGACACTGGGAATTGAACCTGAGTCTCTTGGAAGAGCAACAAGCACTCTTAACTACTGAGCCATCTTCACAGGACCCCCCCCTCTACATCAGATCTCTTGTTTTTACCTTACAACTTCAGAGACAGTCCTTAGTCTCAGGTGCTTTTCCTCATTCAGTCTTGCTCCATCAAATGCATTGTCTCCAACTCTTCGAGTCACCCAGACATGCAGGTGGTACACCTTCCTCTCCCCTTTAGTTCAACATCTTCTTGCTGTCATAAGGATTCTGTTTATTTTCCTCCCTAAAGTCCCCCACCTTCCTGTCTGCCTCTCTTGTTCTTCAAGACAGTAGATTGTATAAGACATTCTTAGTTACTTTGACTCCCTGATTCTTCTTGGACCCTTTACCTTCTGTGTGGAACAGAGAGAAAAGCTTGTGACTCCCGTTCAGAAGAATTCAGTTCTTAGGAGTAGAATATGTGGATGCTTTGTTCATGTTGAAGTGGTGGTTGCTGGGGAAAGATGGTGCCTTGATCTACTCACTCTTTGTATTGCACAGTCAATGTTCCATTTTGATCCCTTGTCCTCCTTATTTTCTTAGATTTTGCAAGCTTCCTGGGTCCCACCTGAGAAAACTGATGTCCCCCTGCATGCTTTGTTGTATTCTGTCTTTTTAGCATCCTGTAGTCCTGGAAATTCCCAAATGAATGATGAACAGGCAGAGGATGTACCTAGCCTCCCACAATGCAACAGAGGTGAGTGAGCCTTTACTTGCCAGTCAGCTAGTGAAACTGCAAGAGAGAAGGTGTCTTCTCATCTTCCCCTACACCCCCACTTAACCTGTTCTTTATTTTCTCAGAGAGAAGAAACCATAAAAGCATCGATGGGGGTCATAAATAAAGGGGAATGAGGTGTTCAGGAAAGGAACAGATTTTGGCCAATGTTCTGCCTCTGGTGGCAGAGGAGTCATGTCAGTCTCCCCTTCAGAGTCCCAAAACAGAGACCTTCATCTAGGAGACACTAAGTCAGCTTGACTCTCCTGGCTGTCGCCAGTGGCTCTCCTGATGTGTTTTTCTTTGGCTGTTTAAATCCACTGAGTCTTCCATTCCTTTCTACAGAGGGAAGTAGTTCTTGTGAACAAATGTTTGATAGACAAGAGCCCCACGATGACACACTCTCTTCACCACCGAGACCTGACGCAGGTGAGCAAGGGGAGTGTGGTGTGATCTGCAGAGTGCTGGGCACTGAATTCTGAGCTGGTGTTTCCTGTTGCATTTGCTCTGCACACATCGTGATGAAGAGATGCTCATGCCCTGGCTATTGTTCTTCATATTTGCCCACGGCATTCTGGGGAAAATTCAGGGAAGAAAAAAGTCATGAGAAACATCATGAAGGAATATTATTTGTGGTTAGGTACTCACATATCAATTTAGTAGGAATCTGCGGGGCCAGACAACATTCATTGCCTTTGTCTCTTCACAGCTACTAAGGCCATACTATATTGAACCCATAGAATAGTTTCTTGCTCTCATTTCTTATTCTCCATGGAAACTAAGAAGCTTATAATTTTTAACTTCTATGCAGGCTGATCATTTTTGTTGTGTTTTCATAAAATTGTTAAAGTGCTCAAAGAAGTTGGGAGCGTTCAACTGTTAAATGCTAGGCTCACAACCATATATATACTACAGGCCCATAGTATCTGGCAGACTCTTCCACGAAGCAGGAAATTTCAAAGACAGTTCTGCCTATATTGGCAGTTTGTCAGTCACTTTCTTCTGTGGCCTGCAGAATGTCTGTCAGACTCTTTCATGAAGCAGAAACCCCAAAGGATCATCTCACCTTTAGGCAAGTTCAGCAGTCATTTTTCTGTGTGTCCTGCATGCCCAGTTCATTAAGCAGTCCAGGCAAGGGCAGTTTCTTGCCCAATTGGCTAAACAACTCCATAAGGAGCCTCTTTGATGCCCATCTTCCTCTTGACGTAACTTGTACTGCCAGAAGAAGATGTGTCTCATTGTCACGAAAAGTTCTAAGTTATTAAAACATTTTAAATGCCATATTATGAAGGTCTCTGAAAAATTTGAAGAAAACCTATCTAACTGAAATATATCTCCATACATATAGAAAATCTAACACAATTACAAGCTTGACTATTATAGATGAATATCTATTGTTATATTTCTTACTTATGCATTACATTCATTTTTTTTGCATTACATTCTTAAATGAACTACATAAACACAATACCTTAATCAAGGGAAGAAATATACAGTGTAACCACATTTACCCTAAATTTGTATCAATAAACCAAGATCCAAATCAAAGCAAATTATTCATCTCTATAGCATATACCTCTTTAAATGTAAACACACAATTATGAACAATAATTGGGAATATGGGCATAGTTCTGTCCAAACTGCTTCCTGCTGTTTGGGGGCACTGTTAATCAGGTCTTTCATGGTGCATTCTGTGTGCTAGGTTCATCTCAGTCAGCAATCAGGTGAAGTAATTTTTTGAGGGGTGTTTAAGGCAACCTCCGGGGGCTCTTTTTTCATCAAACCACACCAGTCTGGGAAGCAATCTAAAGGATCTCATCCTCTGTGGAAATAAGAGAAGAACCTCTTTTCCAAAGTAACATATCCTTAGACCCAAATTTGGAAGTCATGATACCTTTATAATAGCCATGCTGGTTTAGCTTAGCAGCCCATACAATGAAATGTCTCATTCACAGTCAAAAAATTTAAAGATAACACAATAATATACATAATCCAGACTCTGTGAATTTTACATTTTTACGTGACTTATTTCTCTTTACTGCGTTTAATCCTTGCCTATCTGTACTCTGTCTCTTTAAAGACTTTACCCTTTTTTAAGCTTTAACTTTATTTTGTGACTATCTATAATAT